ATCCATTGACATAAGGTCTAACACCGCCCCTTCCCTAATTGAACTATCTGCGTATTGTTTCAAGAATCCCTCCTGGATGCTCCACTCAAATCCTGCCCCATCTAAGCCAATGGCACTAAGGGAGTGCCAGTGAATATTGGAGAAACTAAAATTACATTTACTACAGCCTTGTTGTTGCATCTTTCCATGATCTCCTTCCATTTCTTTTAAAGAAGATGGGCTGTCAACTTTCTTTACCTACCTCCTTTTTACTTGAGCATTTAAACATAGTATAAGATAATTGAATTCCCATGCCATCACCCTTTTTCATTGACAGTTCCTCAAACTATCTAATTGTATGAGCCTGAGATCTAGTCACAACACAGGAAGTAATCCAGAATGTTCCTCCTTCATAAACCCATCTGGAAGACAAATTGTTTCATCGGCCTGCATTAGTGGTTGACTTTCCTCTGTCACTCAATATCTTTATTGATTTATTTCCTTGAGTAGAAGAGTAGCAACTATCTCTTGCAAATAAAATATTCATTAAACTTTAGTGATTTGTTTCTTTGCATCAATAATTGTGCAAGAATTTTCAGTCATCTCTCCTTTCCTAGTACTTTTAAGGAATACTGTCCATCTGAATTGCTGCTACAGTTTCAATACCCATTTCCTTTCCTAATATACCCTTTTCTAAGGATTCTTCAGTTATTCCTACTACTGCAATTGATCTCCCCATTAACTAACTTCCATTGCCAATATCAAAATTGTATGTTGTTTTATTTTTGTCACTTTTTAGATTCTAGTCTTTTTCCTTTGTTATTTTGGGCTCTTGTTCCCTGAAAGTAATACCCTTTTATATGCTCTGCTATTCTACTCCACTTTCTGTATGGGCATTTTGCCACATGTGAAGGAAAGATCATGCCAGTACAGCTGCACCATGGGTGTTTAATACTTGCCATTCGTCTAAATAAGTCTTCAAATTTGCCAAACTACTATTTCTACTGATCAAAGCCACTAATTACTTGCCATTTATTTTCCTTTGGAAATTCTGCTAGTCCTAAATTTTGATTGCTAAGCTTCAAACGAGTTCATATTGAATGTTGCTCTTTCAGCAGCTCCATAGTCTGCCGATTGGTGTTCTGACAAATGGGGTTGGTTAGCTCAATTGGCTGGACGACTGGTTTATAATGCAGAGTGTTGCCTGTGGTGCAGGTTCAGTTCCCACATTAGCTGAACTTGTCATTAAGGTTCCACCTTCTCGACCTTGCCCCATTCAATAAGATCATGGCTGATCTGATTTGTAACTTTTTAAACCTATGTTTGTTTATTTCTACCCCTAATAATTTTCAACCTGTTGCTTAACAAAAAATTATTTATCTATTTCTGCCTTAAAAATATTCAATGACTCTGCTCTCAGAACCTTTTCAGCACTTCATGAGCCGGAGAGAGAGAGAATATTTTGTTGCATCTTGTTTTTTTAAAAAAAAAACCAGTGCTCACCCGTTCATGACAATGACCCTTAGTTCTAGATTCTGGAAGATGAAACATTTCCCCCACATCTATCCTAACAAGACTTCAAGATTTTATGTTTCACTGAAAAGAATCAGAAGATTCTTCACAGCAACCAAAACCAATTTCAAAGTCAAATCTGTATAAAATACTTCACGACAACTCTCCTGTTTTTATGTCCAGTACTTCCACGAACTGGTTCCTTGACAGATTCAGATCCTGCTTAAATTCAATGAATTTTTATCCTGGCAAGGGCCTGAACTTTGATACCAATTGATAGTAAGAATGGAAAAGTGCAGTCTTGGCGTGAAACCTGGCTCAATAGACCATATTTTAATTTTTTCAATGTGTTTCCTATGACGGTCAGTTCCTAAGCATATTCACTCGAGGCTGCTGATATATTCCTTTGGTGAAAAAAGTACGTCTTCCACACAAAAAAATTGTTTTATGTAACAATTTGGAAATATTCTATCATATTAACGCGGAGAAAAAGATTCATCCTTAGTCCAAACTATACCCAGATGGATACTCTGATCAAGGCCCCGACCTCATTGCCAAGACTAACCCCCCTTCTCATCCCTGCCTCCTTGACCTGTCCATCTTCTCTCCCACCTATCCGCTCCTCCCACCTCAATGACCAACCCCCATCCCAACTTCCTTCCTACACTCATCTTTACTAGCTTCATCCCCACCTCCTTGACCTGTCCGTCTTCTCTCCCACCTATCTGGTCCACTACCCACCTTCTGTCACTGCCTCCCCCCATTTATTTCAGAGCCCCCTTCCCTTCCCCCATTTCTGAAGAAGGGTCCAGACCCGAAACGTCCGCTTTCTTGCTCCTCTGATGCTGCCTGGCCTGCTGTGTTCCGCCAACTCTACACCTTGTTATCTCTAGCATATTCCTGTTCTTCATTGTAAAATTTCTTTATTAATTCACAATGTTGATTGAATTTTGAGGATATTATGAAGTGTGTGGATGAGGCTAGTGGAGTTGATGTAGACTACGTGGTTTTCAGTAATGCTTTCATCAAGTTTTGTGTGGGACACTTGTGGAAAAAATTAAGAGCCCTGTGGATTCAGGACAGTTTGGCAAATTAAATCCAATATTGGCTTAGTGGGAAGAGACGGAGTGCTGATTGAAGCTTGTTTTGTGACTGGCAGCCTGTGACAGTGGCATATCATAGGGCTTCGCTGTTTATAATGTACATTAATGATTTAGTCTCATGAAGCTTTATCAGTAAATTTGCAGATGACTCAAAAATTGGTGTTAGATGAAAATAAATTTGGAAGAATTGTGTAGTCAGCAGTATGGAATTCCAAAAGTTCACCGACTAGTTGGGTAGAATAGGTCGATGATAGGTAGCAGATGAGGTTTAATATAGAGAAGTGTGAGGTGAAGAACGTGGAAAGACAGAATAAAATAGGAGGTATAATCTAAAGGGGGTGCAAGAGCAAAGGGCCCTGGGTGTATTTGTGCACAGATCATTGAAGGCAGTGAGACAAGCGGAGAGAGCAGTCATAGAGTCATAGAAATGTACAGCATGGAAACAAATCCCTCAGTCCATCTCATCCATGCCGACCAGAAATCCAAAATTAGTCGAGCCAGCATTTGGCCCATATACATCCTAAACGCTTCCTATTCATATACCCATCCAGATGCCCTTTAAATGTTGTAATTGTACCAGCCTGCACCACTTGTTCTGGCAGCTATTCCATACTTACACCACCCTCTGCATGGAAAAGTTGCCCCTTTGGTCCCTTTTATATATTTCCCCTTTAAACATATGCCGTCCAGGGCCTCCCCTACCTTGGGCACCCTATCCAAGGCCATCATGATTTCATAAACTTCTATAAGGTTACCCTTCAGCCTCTAAACACCCCAGCCTGTTCAGCCCCTCCCTATAGCAACCCTGGCAACATCCTTGTAAATCTTTTCTGAACCCTTTCAAGTTTCACAGCATCTTTCTTATAGCTAAGATACCAGAGTTGAACATGATATTCTAAAAGTGGTCTAACCAATGACCTGAACAGGTATGATATGACCTCCAAACTCCAATACTCAATGCATTGACCAATGAAGACAAGTGTACCAAACGCTGTGTTCACTACCCTATCTGCCTGTGATTCCACTTTCAAGGAACTATATACCTGCACCTCAAGATTTCTTTGTTTGGCAATGATTTAATGATTCTCTCCAATTCTGCTTGCATGAATTTCATCTGTTGAGAAATCCTGAATTAGAAATCTATCTGGAAAAGTCCTGGAAAAACTTGTTTGTTTTTGTCTGATCTGGGTTGGACGTGGGGATTCTGAGTCGGATCGAAGATTTTCTTCATAGCATTTCAAAAAGCGTCTTCTGAGCTTGCTGCTGTCCTTATTATTCATAAATCAGAATACAAGAAGTACATTGCTATACATTATGAAATTTACTGTGATAATAGTTTTGAAGATCGAGGTCAAATGTAATTTGCTTTTGGAGAATTCTTTTCAAATGGATTTTCTCAATATTCTGCCTTCAGGTAAGTAATTCATTGAGTACAAAGCCCTCCAAAAGGTACCCCACAATACAAGCTAACTGCTAGATAGTTATCTTTTTAGGAAAGGATTGAATGTTCAAGATCCAGTAATTGTTACTTGGCTTTGAAAGAAGGTTTGAATAGATATTGTAAGGCTTTAGCTAAGCTGTATTTTCTGGGCTAATTTTTTATTGGAGTGTCTAACTCCAATTGTGTGATGGAACCCATGAGTAATCTGTGACTGTGCTTATTATTTTGAATATATAACCTTAGTGAACTGAATTACATAATTTCATTCTTCCTGCATTAATCCCAATCCCCATCCCATTTTAGCCAAAAGTGCTTTGTAATCTTCTGATTTATCTATTACATTTCAAATATAAACAGAAGATTAAAATTCTCCCTTTCGGGGTAAAATTCCAAACAAGCTAGCAAATTAATTGGACAATTCAGGCTAATAATGGCTTCGGTACTATTGTTGTTCAAATTGTTGGAACATGTTGGTCTTGAGAATTATAGATTTTGCACTTACTTTGTATGCAACTGTTTGAAATTTTGTAAAAGCAGAATGTATAGAAAAATTATCTATCTTTGCTTATTTCCAATGCTTCATATTTTAACTTAAGCCTTAACACACACAACTACCTCCTTAGTGTTGCCATCTGTTCTGATCTGTTGCAGCTTATAGATATTTATGTACTTTTACTGTTTCTTGGGCTCTCAATTTTGTTTCTTGTTCCTAAAAGGACTGAGAATACTATTTCCCCAAACTAGTGTATGTTGCATGACCTGATGTGTATATGATAAAATTTTCTATGACTTTTTTAAAGGGGTGTTTTTTCTAGAACTACAAATTGGGTGTCATTATAAAATGAGCAGCACTGTGTAGACAAAATAATTTACATTTTAGTGGACAGAAAAGTGAGTAGTTTAATAATAGTTCTCTCCCTGTCCCTTATAGTTGTGGCTTCATATTCTAATTATTTTTAATGCAGCAAAGATCCACTTTCATCTGCATCAATGAAATGGACCCCTCCACCAAGTACTATTGCTGACCTTACAGGAAAGTTTCAAGAAGAGAAGGCCAACTTACTAGACCAACTAGAAAAAAGGAATGAAGAGCTTCAGAGCCTTAAAACATCACTGATAGCTGAACAACAGGTAGCTTTCCTCATGTTGTCTACTAAATAAACACTTTTTTAAAAATTGTTGACAACTGTTGGTTCTAAATATTCTTTGTTCTAGTGCATAAGGTGTCACCCATGTATGCAACTGATAACACACTCTCCTTGAGTCTGAATGTCATAGGTTCTAGTCACAACTCTTGACTTGATAGCGGTGTACAAAATGATCAGAGGTATAGATAAAGTAGACAGCCAGAGACTTTTTCCTAGGGTGGAGGTAGCTATTACGAGGGGGCATAGTTTTAAAGTGAGTGGAGGTAGATAAAGGGGAGACGTCAGAGGTAAGTTCTTTCCTCAGTGAGTGGTCGGGGCGTGGAATGCATTGCCTCGTTAGGGGCATTTAAGCGGGTATTAGATAGGCATATGGATGATAGTGTAAGGTAGAGCCACCTATCGAAGGTTAGATAGACCTTAGGATTAGGGTAAAAGTTCGGCATAACACTGTGGGCTGGAGGGCCTGTACTGTTCTATGTTCTATGTTTAAGTCAAAAATACAAGCTGAAAATCTAGACTGGCACCCCAGTACAGCAACGAAGGGGTGCTTAGTATCAGCAAGCTGGATGAAATTTAAATCTTGATACAGATTACACGTTGGAGAACTGGTGAAAAACCTGCGTTGTTATGGTGTGGCAGAGACTTGACAGGAATTCCCTGGAGGTTAGAACCATAGTGCTGGATATCCAGCCTTCTCCTCCCCAAGCGCTACTGACCAATTAGGGGCAAATAGCTCTATTGCTAATGGAATAGTGGTTGTTGCTGATTATATTGCAAAGAACAGGTGAGTACAGGTGGGATGGAGACTGTCAAGCAAGAAGGGACAGAGAGCTCAGAGGCAGTGGCAGAGAAGTGAGCAGTGTAGCCACTGATAGTCCACCTCAATATCCCCCTCCCCATTTGACTCCATATTAAGTTAAATTGACAGTCATTGTTAATATTCTGCATTGACCTATTCCTCTGTGCAACTTATTCAGAGGAGGTGTTTTTTTTTTTCTGGCTGTTACTGCCATTGTCTTTTCCGGTGCCTAGATCAATGCCAGCTGGTCTGTCTGGTTTCATTCTTCTGTTGACTTCACAGCAATTGATTCAACTGAGTGGCTTGCTAAAACAAAATACTGTAGATGCCAGAAATCAGGAACAAAAATAGAAATTAGTGGAAAAACTCACGTCTGGTAGCATCTGTGGCGAGAAAGCAGACTTAACATTTCAGGTCCAGTAACCCTCCTTCGGAAGTGGCTTGCTAGACCTTTTCGGAGGGCAGTTGAGAGTCAACCACATTGCAGTAGGTCTGGATTTACATATACGTCAGACCAAGACCAACTGGCACCAGGTGATGATGGCAGATTTCTTTCCCTGAAGTCATCAGGTGGGGTTTTTCCAACAATGGACATTACTCTCATGGTCATCAGTAGATTTCTAATTCCGGGTATTTTTTATTGAATCTGATGTGACAGGATTTGAATCTGGGTCCATGGAACATTATTTGACATTAACATTGGCTATTATATCACTAGACTATCGCCTCCCATATATGTGGTCCATGTAAAAAATATTCCTACTTGAATGGCATTCACCATTGTGGTTATGCCCCACCAGTTAGTTGCACAATTTCCTGCAATCCCTTGCACTAAGAAATTTCAATGATGGGTCCTGGACTGTTAGTCTAGTGGCAGTCTGAATAGCCAGGTTTGATTTGTATTTGCCCTTTGAGTCAACTTCCTGAAGCACCTGACATATTCTGTAGTCCTCTGCATGGCCTGTTGGATCACCTTTCTAGGGCTTTTGTTGATATACGATCATTCATCAGGCCACAAATAGGTAGTCAAATGTATTGCCAGACAGTTGGAATTCCCCACAATCAATGAATCATTACTTACATAGAACAGTATAGCACAGTACAGACCCTTCGGCCCACGATGTTGTACCGAACTTTTACTCTAAACCTAAGGTCTATCTAACCTCCACCCCTACCTTATACTATCATCCATATCCCTATCTAATAGCCGCTTAAATGTCCCAATGAGGCCGATTCCACGTCCCTACCACTTACTGAGTAAAGAACCTACCTCTGACACCTCCCCTATATCTACCTCCACTCACTTTTTAAATCTAAGCACCCTCGTAATACCTACCTCCACCCTAGGAAAAAGTCTCTGGCTGTCCACTCTATCTATACCTCTGATCATTTTGTACACCTGTATCAAGTCACCTCTCATCCTTCATCGTTCTAAAGAGAAAAGCCCTAGTGTTCTCAACCTTTCCTCGTAAGACCTTCCCTCCATTCCAGGCAACATCCTGGTAAATCTCCTCTGCACCTTTTCCAATACTTCCACATCTTTCCTGTAATGAGGCAACCAGAACTGGACACAATACTCCAGATGTGGCCGAACCAGGCTTTTGTATAGCTGGAGCATAACTTCACGGCTCTTGAACTCAAGCCCTCTATTAATGAAAGCTAACACACCATATGCCTTCTTAACAACTCTATCCACCTGGGTGGCAGCTTTCAGGGAACTGTGGACATGAACCCCAAGATCACTCTGCTCCTCCACACTGCCAAGAATCTTTCCGTTAACCCTGTATTCTGCTTTCAAGTTTGTCCTTCCAAAATGAATCACCTCCCACTTTTCAGGGTTAAACTCCATCTGCCACTTCCCAGCCCAGCCCAGCATCCTATCAATGTCCCTTTGTAACCTAGAACAGCCCTCCACACTATCTACAACTCGACCCACCTTCGTATCGTCCGCGAACTTACTAATCGACCCTTCCACTCCCACATCCAAATCATTTACAAAAATCACAAATAGGAGAGGACCCAGAACTGATCCTTGTGGTATACCACTCGTAACTGAGCACCGTGTTGAATATTTTCCGTCCACTACCACCCTTTGTCTTCTAAAGGTCAGCCAATTCTGAATCCAATCTGCCGCATTTCCCCCTATCCCATGCCTCCTTGCTTTCTGCATGAGCCTACCATGGGGAACCTTATCAAACGCCTTACTAAATCCATGTATACCACATCCACTTCTCTACCTTCATCCACATGTTTGGTCACCTCTTCAGAGAATTCAATAAGTTTTGTGAGGCATGATCTACCGCTCACAAGTCCATGCTGACTATCATGAATCAAACTGTGCCTATCCAAGTGATCATAAATCTTATCTCTCAGAGCCCTTTCCAATAATTTGCCCACCACTGACATAAGACTAACTGGCCTGAAATTTCCCGGGTTATCCCTGTTCCCTTTTTTGAACAAGGGAATTACGTTTGCTACTCCAATCTTCCGGCACTATACCCATGGGCAGCGAGGACGAAAAGATCATCGCCAAAGGCCCTGCGATCTCTTCCCTCACTTCCCATAGAATCCTTGGATAAATCCCATCAGGCCCGGGGGATTTATCTATCTTCAAGTTCCGCAAAATTCCTAGTACATCTTCCTTACTAACATCCACCTCCTCTAGCCTACCAGCCTGTTTCACACTGTCCTCCTCTACAACTAGGTCCCTCTCAGTTGTGAATACCAAAGAAAAGTATTCATTAAGGACCTCTCCTATCTCTTTAGGCTCCGTGCACAAATTCCCTTTACAATCCTTGATCGGCCCTAACCTTTCTCTGGTCATTCTCTTATTCCTCACTAACGTGTAAAAAAGCCTTGGAGTTTTCCTTGATCCTATCTGCCAAGGTTTTCTCATGCCCCCTTATAGCTCTCCTAAGCCTTTTCTTCAGCTCCTTCCTGGCTAACTTGTATCCTTCTAGAGCCTTTTCTGATCCTTGTTTCCTAAACCTTATATAAGCATCCTTCTTCCTCTTAACCAGTCGTTCGACCTCTTTTGAGAACCAAGGCTCCCTCACTTGACTGCATCTTCCCTGCCTGCTAGGGACAAACATATCGAGCACACGCAGTATGCATTCCTTAAACAATCTCCACATTTCTATAGTGGTCTTCCCTGACAGCATCTGTTCCCATTTTGTTACCCAATTCTTGCCTGACCGAATTGTAATTACCCTTCCCCCAATTATAAACCTTGCCCTGCTGTATATACCTATCCTTTTCCATGACTATTGTAAAAGTAACAGAGTTATGATCGCTAACGCCAAAATGCTCTCCTACCAATAGGTCTGACGCTTGGCCCGGTGCATGGCCAAGCACCAAATCCAAAGTGGCTTCTCCTCATGTTGGTCTATCTACATAACTGTGTCAGGAATCCTTCCTGAACACACTGAACAAAATCTGCTCCATCTAAACTATTACAACTAAAAAGTTTCCAATCAATATTTGGAAAGTTGAAGTCACCCATGACTACAACCCTGTGACTTCTGTACCTTTCTAGTATCTGCCTCCCAATCCGCTCCTCCACTTCCCTGCAACTATTAGGGGGTCTGTTTAAAAATTTAAAAAAAAACCAACAAAGTGACTGCTCCTTTCTTGTTCCTGACCTCAACGCAAATTGACTCTGCAGACATCATTCTCGAACTGCCTTTCAGTAGCTGCTATACTAGCCCTGACTAGATTTTACAAGATTTTGTACGTAAAATCTCTAGTTTCACAAATTAAGCCCCTGGAGATCATTTCTATCTCCAGCTTGATGAAACATCATTGGGTTGGGCCAACCTGCACACCTTTAAATGCTGTTTCTAATGGAAAAATACCAACCAACAGCAGTTACACTGATATTTTTTCCAAGCGTCTGACAACTACATGCTGTACATTGCCCTGATTTTGAACAACACTCCAGTAATCACATATGCCAGGCCCTACTCTCAGGTCTCACATCTTTTAGACCTTATTCAGTCAACCCAAACCTTTTCTTTCCACATGCTCTGTTTCAAATCAAGACCCCATTGGATTGGTTCTCTTGACTGCCATAACAAATTTGATTTAAAAACTGAAAGAACCGTGGATGCTGTAAATCAGGAACAAAAATAAAGTTACTGGAAAAGCTCAGCAGGTCTGGCAGCGTCTGTGAAGGAAAAAAAGAG